AACGCTGACGGCCGGTGCGACCGGTTGGAACGGCAGCAACCCCAGCGTTCCGAGCGGCGTCCCCGAGCGACCGAGATGGGCTCCGAGCAGCGCCCGAGGAGCTGAGAGCTGAGAGTTCCCGAGCAGCTGCGGTCCGACCCCAGCAGCCGGCAGTCCGACCAAAGCCCCGCAGCCCCACCAAAGCCCAGCGGTCGCTAACCGAGTGATGCAAACCGAGACAGAGGGGAGAGAGCGAAGGAAACGGCGTGATAGGGACGATACGGTAGCGTATCGATACGATACGCTACCGTATACGGAGCGTATATATGTATACCGTATCGTATCGTCCGTATATATGTATACGGACGATACGATACGGCTCGGTAGCGTATCGTTAGGGACGATACGCTACCGAGCAGGTGCCGTGACCCCGCCACGATATATCGGCCAACTGCCGCCCCTCGACGTCTCTAACACGTTACCTCGCTGCAAGACAGAAGTCAGACCAATCACCCCTGCAGGACAGGGCGGCCAGCGCATAACCCTGCCACGACAGACAGACGTCTCTGCAGAGCCAGGGCTCAGACCGGTGCAGACAGCGCCCCCGGGTATGAACGTGCTGATGGACGGCCGTACTCGCCAGTCATTGATTAGTGGTTCAGACGCCACTAACCGCCCGTGATCCTGTGTGCGGCACGTGAGCCCACTTAGCCGTCGGCCCGGGCTGGGAACAGTAGCCCGGCGCGGCTGTGGGCCAGTGTTTACAGGCGGCTGACACGGCCGATCCGAACACGCCGTGACATCCTCCATCAGACGGGATGTTCGTAAACACGGAGATCCCGACTAAATGGTCACACCAGTGGCGCAATTCGTCAATTAGGCGGTTCACCACAGCACTCTACCCGTAACTCGGTAAATATTTATACGACATATCACTTGCCAGTTGTAAGAAATGGGCCTTGAATATCTCACATTCCTTCTTGTCACAACAAATGGGTCAGCTGATACGTTTCATGGAAGACCATATACATATACCCAGTCACATCTGTGCGTTGAAACGGTCAAAGAACTTTGCGTTTGGTAAGGGGGTGAGATCTATTGAGTAGGCTGCGCCATGTCACCAAGCATAGCTGGCAAAATAGCGCCGAATATTTCCCTGAGTCAAGTCTTCTATGTAGAAGGCGACCTTTTGTTCGTGCATCTAACATTATCCATTCTAACCTACAAACGTGTGACATTGATATATTGCATGTCACAGCTCCGCACCATGTATGCTGTACCATGAACTCGATGTTTTACTTTTTTGCATATGGTCATCCAGATATTTCAAGAGATAATAATCCACGTGACCAGTTACTTGCAAGAGCCAAGAATCACGTGATCTCACACTGTTTTAAAAGTCATCAAAATTAAATATCATTATGATGTGACGCAAGACAACATAAGACCTTCATTCAGCCCTCTGAATCATTCTAAATATGTCGTAAAACATCTGACAGTTGATTTCCTCTGTAACTTATTTTTGAGCCCGGGGCGGCCGCCACAGATCTACCATAAGCAGTTATTTTGGGAGTAGTGCCCCGTTGCATGGCCATTTAGCGCAACCTCCGCCCGGGATCAAAGCGAGCCAGTCGCTCGACAAAGGTCGGTAGCCAGCGGCGGTTCGTCTCCGCTTAATCCCGGCCGACGCTATGTAAAGCGCTGTTCCCATCGCGCACTTTTGTAGGCCTTCACATGTTCTCGCGCAAGGCTGGTCACAGCACGCCCTCACGGCTGGAGCCCAGCCAAGCCCAGTTTCCTTTCCCCGCAGCATTCCGGTGAATATTATCCCTCCGGAGACACACGTAATGCCGGCTTATTAAGTCGTCCACATGTCGCGCACAGGTGACTTCAGAGTGTGGCGTTTACCTGCGTCCTGAAACTCGAGATCGGCACTCAGTTTCCGGCTGACGTCAGCGGCTACACGAACGCTCTCCCCACTTATCGAGATAATGAGCTGACCGACAGATACAGTAACGGCTGACCGGCCGATACAGTAACGGCTCAGACGCGTTTACGTAAGCGCACACAGCGCGCTTGTTTTTCAGTGGGTGTGCCGTGACGTGGAGTAGAGGACTGGGCTGGCATTGAGAACCGGCATTGAATGACGATTAACGTGCTAATTTAGAGGAGTGGCATTGAAGTCCGGCATTGAATGACGATTAATTGCCGAAGTTCACCGTAAGCTATCGCCAATTACACCATTCATAAAATTGTAATAATATTGGTACCGAAATCAAATCGCTTTTATATTTACACTTCACCGCAAAAAGTGTTTTTTCTTCTTAAGTTTCTTCATAAGTTTTTCTTTCTTAATTGTAACATTTGCTTGCTTTGATCTATGACTACTGCGCCCTTGTCAAACATTTGCATGCAATACTTCATCGCTTTGTACGCAGGCAAATTCTAATTGCTTGATGTAATTAATGTCTTCCTAAAATTAATTCTTAACTATTTTTATATCAAACGCTATTATAGTGAAAAACACATCAGACATCCCCATATCACAGATAATACAGAAATTATATTGAAGGGGTGAACCTATCATACAGGTTTTGATTTGAATGTCAATTTATTAAGCTTTTTAATTATAACCAGACAAATCCTGGATCAAGAGCGCATTTCACGCGTGAGACTAGCTTACACTTTCACAAGTTTCTCACCTATGATTATCAAGAAAAGATGTAAAAATCTTCCATGATTTATGTCAATGATATTTCACAAAAAATCAAATGCATATAGTCCTAACTAAAAATCATTAGAAAAAAAATGGGAGGAACATGATGACCCGCAACATTTCTATACTTAATAAGCATTCATTGTTATAGGGTAGGTATATAGCTGTTTCATTTAATAACTTCCTGTAAAAAATAAACCTTGTGATGTTCACTTTCAGTCCTATTTAGAACCATACTGCTGCAGGCTGCTGATGCGTCATAAGGAGATATGTATGAGTATAGGTACAAATGCGAGTTAAAAAATGAAATCAAACAAATATGTACAACGTGTCGCAACATTACCTACGCGATACCTATGTGTAACACCAATATCGTGGGAATGAAAACAATGAAATTGATTGAAAAGAAGTAGGCCGGAATATGTCAAACATTTGGCCAGGCTTACGAGAACAAACGTGTCATTTTGCTCAGCACAGCGCCGTAAATAAACACGCAAAGTTAAAGTGACTTGACACAGTTTACAAGTTCATTCCCCTCTCCCAAAATGAGAATTCCTATGACAATCTGTCAACACTGACAAGTGACAACCAGCCTGGTGACAGACGTTCTCAGGCCAGTCGTGGCGGGAGTTGGGGGCCGGGGAGAGGCAGGGGCGCCTGGGGCACGTCTCCTGAACCCTGTGACCCCCCCCCCCCCCCGTCGAGTGGTGGAGGTACGGCACACGGGTCAACACGGTCCAGGACCGTGAATCAGCCACCGACAAACCAGACTCCCCACTCAGGAGACAGACATTCACGACAGTCTGGTCGGCGCTTACGGCATAATTCCAGATGCTGCAGCGACGGACCGTCACGCCTCGATACTCGGAGTGGACACATGATTGATGTTGTTATGACCTGTCATGATACAGAAGTCTCCATTTGTGTGTAACTTGGGACTCATATAGCCGTGCACATGAGTGGCATTTACCCGGACATTTGTGAATAAATTATGAAACTTATTAGTATTGGGTTACTTGGCTTCAAAGTAAATTTAGCGTGAGTCGGTGAGCAGCATGCAATGCGGTTATAATGAGTCACTAAGCACTGGGTCAGTGGGATTTAAAATATAAATGAACGATAAATAAAAACGAAACCATTTCATGAGGTCCAAGTTACCAGCACTACATCTAAGATGAAAGTGACAATACAATATTAACGATTTATTGCACAAAAATGCATACCTATTTACATGCAAACAATAGTAACATCGGAGTAGCAATAAAAAAGTTTTAGTCCTAGCGTGACCCGTTCGCACATTCACAACAAGAGTTCTAGGCGGAAGAAGCGGTAAATAGGAGGAGCGCCTGCTAGGACAAGACTGTTGGCCAAAGCAGTAAAAACAAAAGTAACTGAGGTCTCTTTACTAATACCACTATATGAAGTGAAATATGACGTAAGGATTGATTCAGCAGGAAAGTGAAATTAATTGGATAAGAAATAAACCGAAGCATAAAGGCTCCTCTTTAGACAAAATTTGAAGCCGACGATGCTCAAACAGAAAAGACCGATGGAAAAACCAGCTAAATGATAAATGTATATCAATGCAAACGTTTCCCCGAACTAATTACAACTCCTCCAGCCACTCGGGAATAAATTCTGAAGTGTTTGGACAATGTTGTAAACCAACCAAGTGCCATGTCGTATAAGTATGATAACAAACTTCAGTAAGGTAAAAAGCCGGGATGAAGCTGGGTTCATTCCATTGCTGGCTTGAAAGATTATTTTCTTACTAATTTACATACCACACCTACCACAAAAGCCTATCCCACCAATCTGTCCTTCCACAAGGAGCAGAGCGCCACCCACCCTCTTGATTTATCTCTTGTTGCTTAGGCGCGGTTTCTTTGCAAGAGATGTTAATTTAACATAGTAAAATGACTAGACATGAGTTAGATGTTCAGAGGATTAACAATACTGTAATTGTAAAACGAATAAGCAATCCAATGGATGAAATAAAGGGCAAAATGTTGGAGCTATTGTTGTTGAGAGTACCTAAGGCTTCAAAGAACAACCCGACAGGACAATGACTCCCATTACTAGACACTGCCGCCGGTGTATGCGCGCCTGCTTGCCAGCTGCCAGCGTATATTGGTGTGCGTGTCAAACCGCCGCAAGAGTGCGAAGTCGGCGAACACGCGACTCATCACCGACTCCAATACAGTCGGCCGTGAAGTTCATCTACGCGCCCGTAAATCTCGTCCACATGTCCCTAGCCAGCGTCCACCGGCGACCCTTCCACCCGCCCTCTTCCCGGTGTACTCACATCGCGACGAGAAGGTCCACATCTTCTCCAGCTGCGAGTGGTCGTCGTCGCTCTCGTAGGCCATGAACTCCTGGTCGTGCTGGCTGCCGTCGCCGGCGACGTCGTCGCGCGGCTGCATGTACGCCTGAATCAGCGCCTCCGACACCACCGGCAGCTTGCGGCCCGTCATGTTGGGCGCCTGCTCCATGCCCAGCTTCTGCAGGATCTGCGCCTTGATGGATTCCACTTGGAGCTGCTTCTGGGCCTCGCGAACGTGGCAGTGCTGGCAGCTGGCCGGGGAGGTGCCCTGGTCCGGCTGCACCGGCCGCGGCACCTTGGCCCGCACCGTCGGCGTCAGGGCGAGCAGCAGCGCGGCCAGCAGCAGCGGCGGCGCCGGCAGACAGCGGCGGGACGGAGCCATGCTCGCGGGGACGGCCGACCGACGGCGGCGGAGAGTGGCGCGTGCACCGAACGCGCCGCAGCACTGGCTCCGCGGCCGGCACCCGCGTGGCCTTATGAAACGGGCGCGCCGCCAGCGTCCGCCGATTGGCCGAGCGCGGGCCCCGTGCCGCCCGTGCACGCCTCAACCCTTCCCGGCGGCGGCTGGCGAGCCCCCGGCCGGCGCGGCGGGGGCGGGGCCAGCGCAGCCGGACGCCGCGCCGAGCGGCGACCGATATCGGCAGGTGATCAGCCAAAGGACCGCCCCAGGTCACAGCCAGTGGCCCTCGGTGACCGCAGCTAGGAAGCAGGTACTCGCCTCCGGGCGTAATCGGTCCACAGGCCACAATTGCGGCCAACCCGCGCTGTACCAACCGTTCGACATATCTCTCGATCCGTACCACTGAGACCAGTTCGCGCTGCCCAGTCGTCCTACGCAACCATAGCCAGAGCCATATCAAGTTGTCTCTCCGATCAACAGTCCCATCGGCTCAGAAGTGCGACATCCGATCATATCGACGAATTTCATGGATATCTTAGAAGAAAAAAGTTCATTATGATGGGGGAAAATAAGGGATAATGTCATGCCTTTTCGACAAAATTTGAAATAAGGCCGAAAGAGTTTACGAACTCGTTCTTGCATAGAACTCTCCGCTTCTCGAAAATCACCATTCTTCCGATATCAACGAAAAAGCTATTGCCTTCTAGTCGGCGGTTTCACTCATCGCTTCAGGCAAAAATTATTTAATGTTATTTTGAAACAACTGACAGTCCACAAGAAAGGTAGGTATGTGCTAATTATTTGAATTTCCACGTTTTAGGAACGATCAGGTTTCAAGCAGAGTTATGTGCAAGCATCTTATTTACCTACACACAATAAATATCAGAATTCAAGCATCGTAGGAACTAAAATATTACCAAACAAATGATCCCATATTAACATCATGCTACCATGCAGGGTACGCTACGTTTACGGTTGGATTTGCAGGGAAGATGTGAGCCTTCCGCGCATTCCGCCAAGTGAAATATAAATAGTTTTAGACAGTACTGTAGACCTTTGTTATGAGTCACAATGTAAGCAATAACAGGGCATGTTTGCACCCACAGCACTCGGCGGAAGACAAAGATATGAGGGCGTTGGACACTTCGGAATGTTGTCGACTGAGCAGAGGTGATTTGTCACACAGTCGAGTCGTGATCGGCTCTCTCTCTCTCCCCCTCCCTCCCTCCCTCCCCCTCTCTCTCTCTCCCTCTCTCTCGCTCTCTCGGTCCCTCTCTCTCTCTCTCTTTCTCTCTCTCTCTCTCTCTCTCTCTCTCTCTCTCTCTCTCTCTCTCTCTCTCTCTCTCTCTCTCTCTCTCTCTCTCTCTCTCTCTCTCTCTCTCTCTCTCTCGCACACTTCCAACACTTTAATCAAAATACCAGAATACATGTTGGTCGCCATAAAAATGCTTCAAATGATGCAAAATAGCTACACCTATCAGACCACAAAATTCGAACACAGGCGAAAATCGTTGAAGACAAGTAGGTATTGCTGAGCAGGCCAGCATACGCTGGGCTGCTCACGAGTTGGTTGAAGGCGTTTGCATGGTTGCATTATGCGCATGAGCTAGTAGCATGACAGGTAATAAGCTGCAAGAACCGTGCGTTGGGGGAGCGACGGAATCTGCAAGCAGCTAAAAATGCTATCACAACCCTAAACATATTTCATTTAATTCAAATATTTATTGTAAAATTGTCCAGGTGAGCCTAACAATCTCCATTTTACCGTAATTCAGCAGGCAAAAGAAAAGAATCATCCCGTTTTACGCCCTCGGTTTATCACCCCCTAGATAACCTTGTGACCGGACTCGGGGTCGTTGAGATTGAAGGAGCATTGAAAAACAGCATATCAAGCTGTGGAACACACGGCAGCCGAGTGTGTCAGCGACTCCGAGAGGACATTGGGATGGTTCGTGTCTGATTACGGCAGCGACCACTGCGTTGGACAGGCAGAACCGTCGCCTCGGGGCTCGATGACTTCGACTCTGAGGGCAGTGATCTGCAGACCGTTCCTCCGCGACCTGAGTCTATGGACGGCGACCGACCGCTGCCTGCGCCTGGGTCAGCGGCTTCAGCTGCCTCTCCGAACGCTCCGGCCCGGTCCGGAGCCTCCCCGGGCCGCATTGACAGCTTTTGCAGCTTCTGAACGGTGAATGGAACGCCCATCAGGTGCCCGCTATCAGCTAGAGCCAAATAATCTCTGCATACACCACGATACTGTTAATCGACCAGTGGGTACAGACTTCCCAGCAGTCCAGTCCAGGAAGTGACCCGTAATTTGAGATATATCTGCACTTTCACCAATCGGAGCAGATATAATGTAATGTAGCTAACTGGAACATCTGGATCTGGAATATCCTGAACTGGAACAGGGAATCACATCTCTGCATACACCACACTGAAAACAATTTAACCCAAGACCGGCGGGTAAACCGGTATTTCGCGGGTACCCCTATCCGCAACCATTTTCAACCACCCTCCCAGGAGTACAGTAAGGTCCCATTGCAGTGTAGTCGTCCCTGCTCTCAGCGGACATGTTCGCTGACAGCGGTTATATCCGCTCAGAGCAAGTACGACTACACCGCAATGGGACCTAGCACTACTCCTGGGAGGGTGGTTAAAAATGGTTGCGGATAGGGGTACCCGTGAAACACCGGTTTACTCGCCGGCCTTGGGTTAAATTGTTTTCAGTGCACGATACTGCTACTCGGCCAGTGGGTATAAGCTTCCCAGCAATCCAGGAAGTGACATGACTTGGATATATCTGCGCTATCACCAATGAGAGCAGCAGATATAATGTAATGCAGGTAACTGGAACATCAGTCTGCGCACGGACGGGTACCTATCTGAACCAGCGGAACGGACGGACGGGGTGGCGGATACCCGCCATCATCTTGGAAACTACACGCGAAGCACTTAGGAGATATATTGATTCAAAAGCTGAAAGAAAATACTCATTGAAAGCATCTTGGCTAGTATTTTTTTTCTTCAAAATATATAAGTCGCTAAGAGAGACAAGGCCGCTTAGGGCTGTTTGTAGAGAAGTGACAAGGGTGAGCTAAATGTTGTTAATTAAAAGTCAGTGCCTCATATGGGTAGCGAATTCAAATCAAGAATTGGTGACCTCAGGAAATCAAAAATAGAAAAAAAGTGAAGATACAGGACATCAGAGATCGCCCTACGGCCCTGGTCGCTCAAATGGTCCTTAGCGAAAACAGAAAAGTGTATGGTGATGACATCTGGGTTAACAACTAACTTACTTTAATCTTTATCATAGATAACATAAATCATGTTATCTATATCTTTATTTATTTTTTACTATATATTTTTGGGGGAAAGAGATCGTGGTTTGCAGAGCCTGCAGATCGTAATTTTGGCAAATCTGGTCTGCATTTGGTCTTTGTCGGCAATTCCAATATGACCGTTCATTTATTAATCAGAAGATCGGCAAAACATGCCAGTATTGCCCATGACAACTGCACAGAAAATTGGCAAACGCTAAACGGTGCGGCATTCTGACAATAAAAATACATATAAGGGGGATGCAGCAGCCCTCGCTTCGTTAGCCATGGTTTACATAACTACGTGTTTACGAGCCGAGACCATAAATAGAAAAGCTCACAAGCATGATTATCTTCATCCAGCTTCATGATGACCAAAAGACAGCGTATTTCAAACAGCTTTTGCAAGTGACAATTTTAGCTGCTAGTTGCCACTGAAAGAAACATTTATTATGTGCATACAAAACAGCATTATCGGGTTTAACATGCCGTGCTGGCGGCGCGGGAGCCGAGTCGCGGCGCTTTCTATCCGGTTGCGGTTCGGAGTAGCTTGCCATGGATACCGCAGCTACTTGGTGTCAGGCATTTGTGGCTGGCGTGTCCGGGTGGCGAGGGACAGCAGAGCCGTTCTTCAGCGAAAAACTGGCCGAAAGGAGTCGGGAGAGAGAAAATAGCGATGTGGAAGATCCGCCAAACATCTTACGGATGTTTCTCTGTAGGCTCCTAAGCCACTGGCGAGGGGCAGGTTTCAAATGCGGTGTTTTAGGCTAGTAACGGATACAGTTCCACACGAAGCATGTCGGTAGGTAGCAGACCGTTTGGCACGTTGGTGGTTCGCGTGGATACCATCTGCACATCTCTGGGGGTGTTTTTAGAGCGGTCGCGGCCTCGTTTGAAGTCGTTTTGGCCCCACTTCCTCGATCCGATGCACCCGTGTCTACTGTCGACCTCGGGTAGGGGACGCCACATATTCGCCAGCGTGGCGCGATCACTTCGGATCAGACAGAATTTGCGACGCCGTTGGCACGCAAACGCGGCGCGAAGGCCTTCGTTTCGCCATACCTGCCGTGGCTATCAGTCATGACTGGATTCAAAATGGTCTTGATGACTAAAAATGAGCGCTATTCACTGTAAAAAAAAAATGTCACGAGCCAATTCTATGACAAGGAGTGGGTTACACGGTCGTCCATTGTACCTTGCTGTTATATATAGGGACATTATCAGCCTGAGCGTTGTTAGTTAAAGAGTGCCCTCGTAAAACAATTGGTTACAAACGGTAACTTAATAACTTAAATGCTTCCCTAACACCCCTTCCTGCTTATCAACAGATTTCGCGCTGTGTCGGAAAACTACGCATAGTCTCATAATTAAATCCGCCAGAAGCTTGTTGCATGCTAGTTACATGCGTGTTTCATTATCGTGTCATATTATTATTATGTCGGCTAATGAGGCACCGCCCTGCACGTGCTTTAAATATAATCCTGCGCACACGCCACCTAGTCGGAAACTCATCATCGGACTAGTCCTGGTAGGGTTTTCGTGTTGCCGAATGAGGCGAAACGACTTTGATTCGGTAGTGCCTCATAAATCCCTGGTACGGTGAGCAGCGACGAGTCTGAGACTGCTTCTAAAACGCGTCCTTCACTTCCGGCGCGGGGCCGTCATTTCCGGCCGCCATTGTTCAGTTCTGCGGCTGCCGGCGGTTGGTGCGGTTGTGTTGTGGCACGGTGCGTTGTGAAGTTCTCGGGCTGGGATATTTCGAAGGTACGTTATATTGTATGATATTTAAGTAGCAATGGGGGACAGTTTATTTATTTTGTAATATTCTGAACACATGTTGCGTCATAGAATTCACCCCTTGACCGTTGTGGGCCACTGTTTCGTTTGAATTCCGACTATTGGAAGACAGAAAGACAAACTTCTTTCAGTTGCTGTCTAGCCTTTTTTTCCAAATGTGTAAGCTACACATATTGCCTCACATTGATTTATCTTATACAAAAGTCAGTTGATGTAGATAATAAAGCCATCCTCACTGATATTTTAAAATCAGCAGTTAATTTTCTTTTCTGTTTGCAGAGTTGCTTAAAGTTGTGGGAGACTGAGGCATGAAGGTATACCGGAAGCCAGCGATATTTCTGTTGGTAAGCCTCGCCCAGAAAAAAAAACTTGCTTGAATCTGCAAAGTATGGCAAATATTTGATGGACTGCACAGTGCACAATGTACCTGACATGGCAGGATCAACTTGCTCACTCGCCTGTTGTAAGTGCCGTTGCGTCAAAGCCCGTGGAAGTGCCCGATCGTGTCTCATGCAACCGTATTATTTTGTGAATGTTATTGGTGGTGACTCGAATCAGCTTTTGCACCACTCCGCTATGATATTGTAATATGTATATATTTAGATATTTT